TTTTCCCCTCCAGGTCCCGCCTTTCCCCATTTACAAGTGGCTTCAGCCACATGTCCAGTCTGAGAAAAGTGTTTCAGCGGCTTGCTAACACGTCGCTAACCCTTAACCTTGCTAAATGTGAGTTTGGTAAGGCTATGGTCACCTACAAAAGTTGCAGCAGTGTTGTCTTACTCAGTTCCGACCACCAGGCGTGAACTGCGGCGTTTTCTGTGCATGGCAGGTTACTACCGTTGTTTCTGCAGGAATTTTTCTGTGGTGGTTGCTCCCCTCCATTTGTGTGGAATGATGAATGTCAGCATGCTTTTGAGGCTGCCAAGTCTCTCCTTTGTAGTGCTCCTTTGTTGGCTGCCACTAACTTTTCCCTGCCTTTCCAGCTACCGGTGGATGCCAGTGCCTCTGGAGCCGGTGCCGTACTGTTGCAGGGTGGTGAAGGGGGGCGTGTGCCATGCAGTATGTTACTTCTCTGTTAAGTTCAAGTGCCATCAACTGAACTACTCCACCATTGAGAAGGAGACGCTAGCCATGCTCCTCGCCCTGCAGCATTTTGAGGTATATGTTGGCTCCAGTTCAGTCCCAGTTGTTGTTTTCACTGATCACATTCCTCTGGTTTTCCTAGCCCAGATGTACAATCACAACCAGCGGTTGATGCATTGGGCTCTACTGGCATAGGGGTACAACACTGAGATAAAGCACAAAAGGGCCATGGCCCAGGTAACTTTTGTACTCTGACATAGAGGGCTGCATTGGGATTGGGACCCGCCGGGTCCCGCGGGTCCCCATTAAACAGTAGAAGAAGAAGAAAAAGAAGAAGAAGACGTAGCCTAGTGACAGGATGTCAACACAGGAACTTGGTGCACATGCATGAGCGTTTCCACTCCATATTTATTCATAAATGGACGAATATGCCCTGAACCAGCTTTCATACCAATTTGCCGCTTGCTCCACCTGTCTGTCTGTCTGTCAGCTCCATCTCTCACAAAATCAATGCATCTCTATTATTGTGCGGGCATCAATTCTCAGAGTTTTGCGGTTGGGGGCGGTAATGGTCAGAAATTCAGCGTTGTGGTTACTTTTCAGTAACTGCGCAGCTGCGCTTGTTTTGTTGTTGGGTGTGTGTGTGTGTGTGTGTGTGTGTGTGTGTGTGTGTGCGGCTCTGCACATCAGTCTGATATGAGTGATGACTTGTGATGATAATGAATATGATGTTGATTTAGATTCAAGGCAGCAAGATGAGTTTTAGTTGTGGTTGTGGACTGGATGTACTTTGTTGTTTGCTATAGTTTCATCTGTGCGTTTATGTGTAAATAGGTTCGGCCTGTTGTGTGTGAATGTTAGAGTGGGATCAGAGGGGTTAATCTGAGCAAGCATGTGTTCGTGTTCATGCGTGTACTGTAGATGTGACTGTGTGGTGTCAGAATAAAAAAAAGTGCTCCGCAACGTTATTTAATACATCAGTAATATTGTCTGTTTCAATGCATATGCCCCCCACCCCCTCCGCGTGACTTGAAATTATGCCCCCCCCCCACCTTGTTCAGATGCATTCCGTGGTCCATGGTAGCCGACACACTGTCCCGTGGGTGAGGTGACAACCCTCACTGTTATTAGTTAGTGGCAATATTTTTTGTAAGAGGTGCACTAAAATGTTTGCTGCTCACATGTTCAAGTAATGGGTGAAAATTGTGACTGTATTTAATGTGAGGTAAAACTTTAGTGGAAATTAGACAGTATTATTTTCGTATAGGTGGACTCAAACTATATGTTTGTATTTAAGGGAGGGAGTGTTATGGCTGCTGGCCTGTGGTGTTTTCCTTTGTGTCCCCTTCCCTTTTTTTTCCTCCAGGTCCCACCTCTCCCTCATTACTAGCGGATGAGCACACCTGAAGCCACTTGTATGGGGAACCATAATACTGGAAGGACTGGCTGCGTCCGGGGTTCAGTGGACCGTGACAGCAGAGCTGTCTGTGGCATGTGTTGTCTGGTAGAAGCATTTTCGCGTTGAACGACTGGTGGTCTGGCTACTCATTTTAGAGCAGCTCGCTTTACATTTTCATTATATTCTGTTTTTGTAAATAAATCATCGTTAAGTTAATGTTGACCTGCTCTCCTCTCTCCTTCTTCCGAAGATACCCGATAAACATTTTATATGTTACTCCCCTCATCCCCTGGGCTCAAACGGGGGTGTAACAATCGCCTTAAAAAATATGGATAATTATTATTAGTTAATGTCCAGTGTTGGTCGCTGTGTTAAAAGTCCTGTAGTTCATCAGCAAATATATTTCAAGTACCAAAAGTAAAAGTACCCATTAATCAAAATGGACAGTGTCAGTGTGTTGTATTCTTCTATAGATTTGATTTGGATTATTATTCAAAGTAAATTCATGTGTCAGGAGCATGTCAGTGTCTTTTTTAGACATTTTGATGTATATTTCTCTGTTGTTGCAGTCACAGTAGTACTAGTGTTAGCAGTAACAGCATCTTTGTAAAACATGTTCATCAGTATTTCTTCAATTTTGTTTGGAGAGATCAAGAGCTGCATCTGTATCTGTGGCTCCAGCTGAGTGAAATAGATTACACAACATTTTTCTGACACTGTCAGTCAGCTAAAGTTATATGTAGCTTGGGTAAAAATGTGCATAAATATGGTAAATAGTTGGTAATAAATACATGAATAAATAGGATTTGATAAAAGGTTAAAAAGGGTGAAATACATATATTTCATTGTTTGGTAAAATCTCAAGTTCATGTGTTAAAAATGGTAAAAATGCTTAAAATGTTTAAATTGCTATATGTGTTTTATTTCATTTAATTTGATAAAAAGCTGTTTATTTCTATGGTACCCTTTCTAAAGAAATGCTTTCTTTTCACGAGTTGTTTTTATTTTTGAAAGGTTGGCTGTGGGGTGCATCCAGGTGAGAGAGAGGTGAGAGGGAGAGGACGGGAAGTAAAGGAGAAAATGCGGTAAATTTTTGGGTGGACGTCTAAAGTTGTGAAGAAAACAGTTTGTATAGTAGGTGTCTCAGATTTTCAACAGGATAATCTATAAAAGGACGTTATATTGAGAGTTACTGAGAACGTCTGCCCGACGTTTTGCAACATTGTAACCCGTTACGTCGCTCGTTAGCCAAGTGAGCGTGTGTGTAAGGTGGAGAGACTGCGGGCTAAGCTAACTGAGCTAACCCAGCTCGACACCCTAGCCTTGTGGACAGTTTCCAACCGGGAGACAACGGACATCCACCAGATAGCGCTCTGAGCCATCGAGGATGCTCAGAGTTCCTCTGGCAACGTTGGATATCCACCCAAACTCCGTGAGTGTGTCCTCCTGTTGTCTCCTGCTTCCTGGACAGACGGCTGTGAACTGTTAGCTTCTCTGGATGACCACACAGCTCCTGAAAAAAGGTACCTACAGCTAATTTATTTTCTGCTCAGCTGAGAGTGAAGTGACCGCTGACTTTTTGGTCTCAGCGAACACAAGCAGCGATACAGGCCTGCAACAATGTTATGTTATTAAATATTATTATTTTGCCGGCTTAGTAGAGTGATAATTGGTGTGTGCGCTGTGTTTGATTACTGTTGAAACTTTGTCTGGACACTAAAACCTATAAAAAGTGACAATATATTATATGGTTTGAAAGAAAACTGATATAACCTGTGGATTTGTGAAAAACAAAAGAGCACACTAACTTTAAGTTGTTATATTTATTTTACCTTATTATTCAAGTAAAATCGTACTTTTAATTGGGAAGTTGATTTCTGAGTGTGTTTTCTAACTTTAAGTGGTTTGAGGTCCTAATATCTTGCATATATTTAACTGTTGTGCCTGTGAATATTTGATAAAGGGTCATTACACTTAACTATTTTCATATAAAGAGGTCACTAACATCTGGTTATATCCAGTAGCTCTAAGGTTGTTAAAAGGACCCAGGATAAATAATATTGAGTTAGCCAGAGTTAACCCACTAAAGTTAAGTGAAGTAAAGAACTCAGGGTCCCATCTACATATATTGAGGGTAGATGGGCTACATATATTAGATTTGAAAAATGTTGGCATGATTGGCACTGATGAGTTACAGCTGTACATGATTTTGTAGCAGATATGTTGCATCTTAATGCTTCTTAACAATGGTTAATGCGTGGTTAAGTTTAGGCACAAAAAATAGATTTAATTATTTGTAACAAAACAAGACCTAAGAACAGAGCCAGTTTCACTTGATGGTAAACATGTTGAAACTGGAAAACTTTAAATATCTCAGTACGGTTCTCGACTCTCAGGTGAGCTTCTCTGGTAATACAGAGTATATTAACAGGAGATAATAAGGTAAGATGAGATGAGATGACATAATCCTGTATTTGTCCCACAGCTGGAAAGTTTGCAACATTAGAGTTGCAGAGTGAAAAAGGAAGTGTCAGTAGAAAAAAACTCAAAGCAATATATAAGTATATATTAATAAAAAGAAAAGACCACAGAACCATAGAAGGTCCTCAGGAGTACCCCCTGTCCTCTGATCGACCTGAGTCTCCTCAGCAGATATACTCTGCTTTGTCCTCTCCTGTATAGTGCATTAGTGTTGTCTGTCCAGTCCAGTTTGTTGATTAGGTGAACACCCAGGTACTTGTTAGATTTCACCATCTCAATGTCCATTTCCTGGATGTTCAATGGTATGAGGGGGGAGTGTTTGCACCTGTAGAAGTGAAAGTCCACTGACAACAGAGCTGTATGTGATGACTTGAGATGAGAATATGTTGCCAGACGACAAAGTCAGCTCATACATTACATCACTTTAGAAATGTTGATATGATATCGATGAAACATAAAAATGTAACTTATTTGTGTTTGCTGACATTTTCTTCTGATGACCGGGCTGTTTGATGTGTGTGCATGTGTTTTGATTTTATTCAGATCACAGATTGTGTCTGAAGAGGTGAAGGAACTTTTGAAAATGTTTCTCTGTTTTCAGGTAATCCAACTGAAACCCTGATCAAGGACGTTTTATGAGAAGGAGATGGAGAATGTCTTTTCGCACAAACAGTTCATCCTCAATGGCTTCAATGAACTTGGAGTTCTGAGGCCCGTCCTCTTCATCCCATTCTTCATAATGTTGGTTGTGTCACTGTCGGCCAACTCCCTGCTGCTGTATATCATCATTTCACAGAGAAGCCTCCACTCGCCGATGTACATCCTCATGGCCGGCATGGCGTGTGTGGACCTGAGCGTCCCACTGGTCATTGTCCCCAACATGCTGCTGAGCTTCCTGTTTGACTGGAGGGGAATCTCTCTGATTGGCTGCCTGGTTCAGATGCACTTCATTCACTTTGTTGGAACTTTTCACTCAACTCTATTGGTGTGGATGGCACTGGACCGCTACTTTGCCATCTGTACACCTCTCTACTATCATGAGCGCATGGTGTTACCACGATTCCTCAAGTTTATCATCACGCTTGTGGTCAGAAATGTCCTCTTGATCACACCATTTGTGGGTCTGGCAGAATCATTATCATTCTGTACGTCAAATGTGATGAACCACTGTTTCTGTGAGCACATGGCCTTAGTGGAGCTGGCCTGTGGAAGCACTGCAGTGAACAGCCTGGTGGGGCTCTTGGGTGTGTTTCTCATCCCTGTTGTAGACTTCATCTTTATCTCTTCTTCCTATGTGGTCATATTTACCTCTGTGCTGAGGTCAGGTAGGTCTGGGATCAAAGCACTCCACACCTGTGTCACACACATTGTGGTAATGACTGTCAGCCTGATCTTTGCACTTGTTGCTTTACTGTCTTATTGGATCCGAAACAGTCTTCGTCCGGCCATTCAGGTTTTTTTCAGCACCATGTACCTGTTGTTCCCAAGCTGTTTCAACCCAATCATCTACGGCATGACAGAGGGATGTCGTATGCTGTAAAGCCCTGCGAGGCAAATTGTGATTTGTGATATTGGGCTTTATAAATAAAATTGAATGAGAACCACAGAGATTCAACAGCACATTGTAAAGACCTTGACATGTTGCCACTTTGTCCGAACTGTTCCCCATTCTTAAAAGAAACTGTAATCTGTCATGTAAAATGTCATTTTCATGAGGAAAACAAAAATAGATCAGAAGTCAGTCATGTCATAAATGAAAAATGCACAACATTAAAATTAAAGCAAACTATTTTTAAAATTATGTGATGCTTGATAAACTATGGACAACAAAATCAAAATCGCTCCAAAGGAGGAAAACAAACGGCTAAAAAAAATAATCCTGAGCTAAGGCAAGAAACTAAGATATAAAAGTTACAAACAAAAAATCACTCGTTTAGAGGAACAACGGCTTACGTGAGGCAACACTGAAAATCGCTCCAAAGGAGGAAAACAAACGGCTATGAAAAATAATCCTGAGCTAAGGCAAGAAACTAAGCTATCAAAGTTACAAACAAAAAATCACTCGTTTAGAGGAACAACGGCTTACGTGAGGCAACACTGTGGCTGTGGAACAAGGCTTGGAGATGAGCTCGGGTGATCAGACGAAGACACTCTGGCACAAGACAAGGGAGACACAGACTATTTAAACACACGGAGGTAATGGGGAACAGGTGGAGACAATTGGTAATCAGGGTAGACACACAGGCGACACATGAGGAAGGGCAAGTGCTCTGAAACGAGAGAAGAGTAAGGCCTTCAAAATAAAACAGGAAATGACAAGACCAAAATCCCAAGACAAGACAAACCTCACCGCGGTGTGACATTGAGCCCAGTGCTTATTACTGGACAGCTTCATCCAAACATCCAACATCATCAAATCTGCAGCTGTAAGTCTTAGAAACTTGGCTGAAGAGAGGAACAGGGCTGTCAGCTGATCAACATCTGGGGCTCTAGTTTCGCAGACCGGGCGAGGTGGGGGCGCAGCGCACCTGCGCTTTGCCAACTGGGTGTGGCCAGGCGGATTTTGCAAGTTTGGCACACCGTGCGC